CATCATCATCACCACCATCATCACCATCATCACCATCATCACCATCACCACCATCATCACCATCATCACCATCATCATCATCACCACCATCATCATCATCACCATCATCATCATCATCATCATCACCATCATCATCATCATCACCACAACCATCATCATCATCATCACCATCATCACCATCATCATCATCATCATCATCACCATCATCATCATTATCACCACAACCATCATCATCATCATCACCACCATCATCATCATCACCATCATCATCATCATCATCATCACCATCATCATCATTATGACCACAACCATCATCATCATCATCACCATCATCATCATCATCACCATCATCATCACCATCATCATCATCATCATCATATCACCATCATCATCATCATCATCACCATCATATCACCATCATCATCACCATCATCATCATCATCATCACCATCATCATCACCATCATCATCATCATCATCATCACCATCATCATCATCATCACCACCACCACCATCATCATCACCATCATCATTATCATCATCACCATCATCATCATCATCATCATCATCATCATCATCATCATCACCATCATCATCATCATCATCATCATCATCATCATCATCACCACCACCACCATCATCATCACCATCATCATCATCACCATCATCATCATCATCACCATCACCATCATCATCATCATCATCACCATCATCATCATCATCATCATCATCATCATCATCATCATCATCACCATCATCACCACCACCATCATCATCATCATCATCATCACCATCACCATCACCATCATCATCATCATCATCATCATCATCATCTTCATCACTCTTCTAAGCTCAGGTCAGGTTCACCTCACGTCATCCTCACAATGTGCACAGGCTCAGAGTCTTGTCAGCGTCCACTGAGCCTTGCTGGCCTCTGGAAGGCGAGTGTGACCGCAGGCAGACCGGGCTGGGTGCGCCCTTCCTGGTGAGGTCCGTGGCTTGGCCTGCGCTCACCTTCTCTGCCGCTGGACACCTCCGACCCGTGGCCAGCATCTGACCACCACTCAGACTGTCACCAAAGCCGAGGCCGCCCAGACCCTGCCTGCCTCCACCTCCCCTCCCCTGTGGCAGAGGGTGCCCGGAGACCTTCTCTAAAATGCCAGCTGCCTGGCCCTGCAGAGATCTGGCAGGGCAGAGGAGCAGGGTGAAGGTTCAGAGTTACTTCCTTATAGGCTCTTATTTTTTCTCTAAGAAATTTCAGAGGAAAAAACATGCGAGGGACACATGCGCAGTGGCAGGAAGGGCGGGAGGTTTGCATGGCCGGAGACGTCGCCCATCCCTGCGGCTTGCTCTTTTATGTCCACTGTGGAGAACACAACGGGTTTGGATAAACTCTCTGCACCATGGAGACGGCGGAGGGATGATGGTGCTCTGCTGTGTGTGCTGCATTCTGCTGTGTGTGCTGCATTCTGGCTGCCAAAGCCACCACGCAGACACGCCCCGCCACGCCTGGAGGGCCTGGCTACCACCCAGGCCCGAGGCCAGCAGCCCACTCCACTCCGCTCCAAGGCGGGAGGCAGAGAAGGGGAGCTCACAGACCTGGCCCGGCCAACGGAGGCCGGCCTGACTCCCGCTAAGAGCACCTTCTCCCAGGAGCGATTTTGTGCAGCTGGCCCAGAGCGGCTGCTGTCCTTGAAGATGGCCAGTGAGCCTGGCCGTGGCTCTCTGGGGCCACAGGTTCGGGAGAGTTGCTGCCAGTTCCCCACAGACGAGGCTGGGACTCACACGGTGGTTTGCACCAGCACGGACCGGTGCCCGGGGTGTGGTGTCTGCCCTGTGAGGGTGGCCAGGCCCTGGGGAGGCTGGACCCTGGCTGAGCTGAGTGCCGCTCCTGGGGTCTGGGTGGGATTTCTCTCTGAGGTTTGGTGCGCGGATCTGGGGAGCGCATAGCAGAGCCAACTTTCCCAGCAGAGGCCGCGTGGTCCCTGGCGTGGCCCCTGCCTGGGGTCCTGGGCCCCGTCATGGGGGAGACGCTCGCACCGAGCAGGGACGGTCCTGGTGTGGGGTGAGCGTCAAGCTCCACGGAGGCTCGGGGTGGTAGGAATTCTGCACCCTCCGCTCGGAGCTGCATGCACCGTGTCTGTCTGGGACACGAGGACAGGCCTCTCTCAGAACTGGCTCCCCAGTTCTGAACCCAATGCTAATTTCTTCTTTGTTTATGACACCTGAGTTCCCGGAGTCATTAATGGAAGTTTTACAACCTACTTTGGTTCAATAAATACAGGTTGCCCTGACAGCCTCATTACGCAGAGATAAACAGAGCACTTGAGTTCTAAAGACACGCTGCTGCGGATTTACACTTAATAATACATCTTCCCTGGTGGAGAGGGAAAGCCATCATTTCTCCATAGCGAGTGCATGCAGCGTGGGTTGGTGCAAATGAAACCTTCGGGGCTAGGAGCACACGCGGGCTGTGTGGACACGGTCTCCACGCGTGTGCTCTGTGTGTGGGATCCGCGTCTCTGCACGGTGTGTGTGTTACAAACACACACACGACCCCCGCTCCAGGCGCACCGTCGGGGACAAGGCCAGGTGTGCCGGAAACCTCCAGGCACCAGGGTGTGGGGTGCAGTTGGTATTTTTGCTCCCCTGCCTCCCAGCCCTCCTCTTCCAAAAGAGCGTTCTGATTTTACTTAAGAGATGGGCCCGCCTGAGACCAGAGGTCAG